AGTCTTTTTGTGCGAGCCGTCAACTTTTTGCATTTTTGGGGGGAAATTAGGAAACCATTTTCTTAACGGGGCTTTTCGAGCCAAGGGAAGGGGGAGGGAAGTGCGTTATTTTCTGTGCAAAAACTTTTTTGGTGAAGTTTCCAGATCAGGGCTGGCAATGAATGTTTTTGAATTGTGTGAGAAAAAAAACTCGGTTAAAATGTATGCTGGTTTTTTTTTTTCAGGAGATGAGGAAATTATAAAAAATGACGAAGAAGAGGGCAAGCAGAAAAAGAAAATGCTGTTGCATAAAACATGCAGTATATTTTTGCGAAATGTGGCGCCAAACATCACTGTTGAGGAACTCGAAACGGCGAGTTTCATCTCATACTTTTTTGACTCATGGAATTTGAATCCTGATTGTTTGCGAATTTACCGATCATAAACAGGCACTATCTAGGAGGGAAGAACAATAGGTATGATGTGCGTAAGCTAAAATTAGTTTCATTACGAGGGGAAAGTTATTTGCGAATCTTTCGTCTGATGATTGGGATTTCATCGGATTAAAAGACCGAAAGATTTTCTTGGTTCTCCTCGAAATGGATTAGTAGAATAGACGGATTGGTCTAAGTGTCATGTGTGACAAGACATTTTACAATGCAGCAGTCTGTGTTTCATCCCTTAGCTGTAAGCACAGGCCGAACTTTGAAATTGAAGTGGGTTTTCATTGATGCGTCCTCCATTTTTTCGGATTTTCTCTGTTTTGTGCTACTTGGTCCACATACTTAGGAGACCAAATGAGAATTGCAAATCGAGGGAATAGAAAGAGACATTTTTTTTAATAAAAATACAAGTTTTTCCCGTGTAATCTGGGCGATCTTTGAACGTACTGCTGGTAGGGTTTACACTGCTTCGCTTGCCCAGTTCTTGCAGCGCAAAACTGTGAAAACAGAAAAATTCAAATTCATGAAACAGTTGGTGTTCCTTTTTCGGTCTCTTTTGATTGGGAAACTATTTGTGTTTTTTAAGTCGATGACTTTGCCAAGGCGCCAGATTTTGCGTGGTGATTTCGCGCATACTCACTTGACTCCTCATACCCCCTGTCATTTACCATTTAGCTGTTTGTATTGCTCATGCTCTTCATTCATAGGACTAAATCTCAGTTAGTGATGAGTGATGATTGCAGGCCTGTAAACGATTCCCGGGATTTCTGCGTGTTGGATTGGCCGAGCCAGTGCCCGATCGTAAATTTTATCGACGTGGCTGGGTAACATTTCGAAGAGATGTCAATATCAAGGAGATTTGTTGGAATCTGAATAGCGTTCGTGTAAGTGCCTCAGAAATTTTAAAAATACAAACAGTGAATATGCCTGGCTAGGAGACTGGAAGAGAATGGGGTCTGAAATCTTCTGTGTGTTGACGTATGTGGTTTGTTTGGCAGTGTTGGCGTAAGTTATTCCTAAGTAAGTTATTCTGAAGCAGTATTTTATATCCGATTATTCGTTGTAATTATGTAAGTTATGCTGACGGGTTTAGCACAGTTATGAGTCTCACTGATCTCATTTTCATAGCCATGAATTCGACTTCGCCAGAGAGAAATTGATAGAGACGCTGGATTCCAGTTGGCGGGATGCCAGAAAATGCAAAAAAAAAATGTGATGTGAGGTTGTATTGCAGATAAAGGATTGTGATCTGGGAGCAGTGATTAATCGCGATATCGCTCGTCGAGTACGATCGGTGAATGGTGTAACGGGGCATAAACAAGTTGCACAGAATGATTTGCGACAAGCAGCCAAGCTTACAGCTATTTATGATAAAAAAGTAGATTCTTGAACAAAATTCACTGATTTTTAGTCTTTGCCTTCTCAGCTTTCTACGAGGAGTAGCACAGCTGGTCTCGGCATCTCACTTATATTGCTAACATGGGCAATTGGTAAAAATTGGTCCGGCTGGCATCGTACACGATTTGCGAAAATTTTTTCTTGGCCATGACAGGTGGGGCTGTCTCACACTGAGTGGCGGCAGTTGAATGTTGCAAGTGGGGATAGGATGGGGAAATGGGAAGGGAGAGAAGTGGTGTGCTGTAGATTCCATGGGGGGCAATGGAGTTAGGCTAGGATAGCTGGATTTAAGGGCTATCTGGCGTAGATGGATTGCCGGTTGGCCAGTTCACGTACATTCGGAGGGGGAGGAGGGTGATGGATGGAAAGGAGGGGGAAGTGTGTTGCTGCTGGTTTTCACCACGAAATACTCGGGATAGGGGAAGAGCTGAAATATTGCTTGCTTCCAAAGTGTTCTTACAGTGGTGATGGAGGGGAGCTCAGATATTACTTTGCAGGCATGATTTGGAGAAAGGGCAGAGAAGGGGAGCGAGGATGACAGTTTACAGTACTTTTTGTCTTTTCTTAAGATCCGCAGTATAAAATGTCTAAAAGCAATAAAGAAATTCTTGTCGAATCGTTGCTGGCGTGCTTTTTTATGATGTGCGATATTTTTCAGAATGGTCTATATCAGCCGGAAAATGCAGAAGAACGTCAGAGTAATTTTGAGCTGGATATTGTAGCGCAAAGTGAGAATCCATTACTCAAAAATCTTACCGATTTCTTGATTGAGGAAGCAAGTGCCGAAGAAGAAGAGCTACTTGGCATTTCAAACGGTACTTTTATTTTATGCTTTTTTGTTTTTCACTTCGGAAATGCAGTGATATAGCACCATGGATTTTCGTATTGTTTTCATGATCTCATATTCCTCCCTCTCTCCTCTTGCGTAATTATTGCCATGCTGGCGAGCCTGGTGGTGCAGCTTTCAGGTACAGCTTGGAGATTCGACTTGGTTAGTGGTCCAACCAGCATAGATGGATCCGGGGGAAAGGGGGATAGGGGCGATTCAGAAGATTTTTCTCCTCCCCTCCTCTCTTTCTCCCGTTCGTCGGTACATCGAAGGCTCCACTCTCTCCCTTCACCCCAGTCATCCCTTCCTGTGATAAGAACCGGGGAAGAAGCGGGGATGGAGGAGGGTAGGTGGGGGAGGGGGGGGGGGGGGGGAA